ATAAATAAAACGCTGTAAAGTTGTACCAATTGCCCTACTTTAAGCTTGGTTTTATTAGTCTTTTTGTATTTATTAATATCGAAACTGATCTACATTTTATGGTTTATAGATCCTTCCTAGAATAGGTTACGTAATTTTAAATATATTCAGGGTACATTCTATTGGATACACATCCCGTTATGTAACAATTTCGAAGAAGAGTAAGCTTCCGTATTGAAATTTTAATCGCACATAGAATTTTTAATAAAGGACCTGTGATCAAACACTAATAAGTAGAAGAACGACAGTTCTTTTCGCGTTTACTAAGAACTTCTTCTATCTATGGTTTTGAAGTTTTTTTGGAAATCTGTGACAAATGTCATGAGTTATCCAGAATATTTTAACTTGTCCATTCTTGACACGACAGTGTTATGGTTCTGTTATCAGTCACCACTAAAACATTTGCCGACTTTTTATACTGTTTGGTACGTTTGCAGACATAAACTCAAAGGAGACTCTATAGAATTAGTATTAGTATTAAATAAATACGTTGGGGTAGAGATTAAACCTGTTATGCACGCGCAGCCTATTTACAAAACTATAATATAAGTAACAATATTAAGCTACCCACTGCGTTAATGGTCGTAGTTAATTTTAAACGGCAGTACAGAATTACTTAAATCTACGTAGTCCGGTAGTGAGTTCCAAAGATCAAAAAGTCTATTTAACAAAAACTGCTGTCTACTCCGGGTTTTGAAATTCTCTTTTTGAAGTTTGACAATATATCCTCTAGTTCGTGTATCAAGATTGAGTGAAAATAGGTCCCTAATAGGTGAATTTAGAGTTGTTAAGGCCTGAAAAGTTGTAATAACATCTCCTCTTGTTCTTCTTATAGAGAGTGAGGGTAGGTTCATGGCGGTTAGTCTATCCAAGTATTGCAGACGATTTATACTATATGGCACTCTGTTTTCTGTTTTCTTTTTCTTGGAAAATCAGAAGGTCTAAATATTCTAAATTGGCTAGCAAGTTTTCATCTGATGTTAGAAGAAGATCTAATATCGAGGGTTGTTGCTGCGATCTATATCGAGTAGGTTGATCTACTAACTGTGTTAAGTGACTGTTGATGAGTAATTCGACACACTTGTAACGCATTGCGTAAGCATTGAGAAATAGTTATAAGCCATGTAACTTAAGGCATGTTATAATCACCAAATAAAAATAGGTGAAGCTACATCCGATAACACTACAAATAAATTATAATTGTCAGGTAATGATGAGTCTGGAGGACAACACATGCAACCGATGACAAAATTGCAAAAAATTGAGCCAATACAGCGTCTGATACGTAAATGCAAACACCACCCCCTCTTTTACCAACACGATAATTCCTAAAAACTGTATACCCATTAATGGCAATTATACTGTCAGGCAGAGCAGGTGAGAGCTGGGTTGCAGATAAAAAAATAAACGCTGGTTTTTCATAAGATATAAACACACAAAGTACGTTAAATTTGGGAGTCAGCGAAGCTATATTAGTGTAAACTACTGTGCTAGTAAAATACTCCGTATTAGGAGTATTATTATTTATTTGTTTGTGTCTCCCCAGTATTGCTTTCCGCAGTGTTGACTATGTCCATTTGATGTGACAAGGCTTTCTTTAATTTCTGTTGAATATTTAAACACCTATTTTTCACATTTCTATATTGTAATGCCGGGTATATCTCAAGCAACATAAATAAGTACCTACTACACCTTCTAGATTAGTTGTAAAATTGAAGAGGTACTCTATAGGATATGGTTGCTGATTGATATTGTCCATCACTTCGATTAGCTGAGAAAATCCAAGGAAAATTCATGATCTGTATTTTCAATAATCTGCTTTACTGGGGTAAGTCTTTCTGCAAGTGACGTTAAGCTTTCTAGAGATTCACTAGGTTTATATTTCTTATGAGACGTTTCTTCCGTATCTAAATTTCCTAAAGAGTCCGTTGATTTAAATGAAAAATCCAAGAGACCTGCATCTTCAACTGGAAATGAATGGTTCTTTTCTTACTCGCCAGTACTGCTGCATAGGCTGCAGATGATGTCGGTGTATTCTGCTCATGGACAATAGGCTCGATTTCTGCATTAATCCTTTCGACAGTTGCTTCATTATTTTGTGGGCAATTATTTATAACAAACGTTGTCATAACTTGAAAATATTCTATAATTTTTTTATTACGTTCATTGTGGTCATCCTTATTCTGAGAGTAGATTAGGCAGCTCAACAAACTTCATAAAAAACGTAAAGTATCCCTACGTATTACAATAATAGTTTTAGCGAAATTGTTGAACGAACCGAACTTCTCTTGCACAGAGCACAGGACAGTTTTCCTGTACAGTATAAATGATAAATCTTCCGGCTTTCCCTTTTCTTAGATACACAACCGAACGATCTTTTGAAAAACTTGTGATCCATTAAATTCCGAAAATGAACTTAAACTAATTCTAAAATTGTTATCCAAGCCATAGTTCATGACCCAACATGACGCATAGGGAATATGAATCTATAACCGATTTTGAGTAATCAAGTAATTTGAGTTAATTTTATAATAATATAATTCATCTCTGTTTTTTTTAATATACGGATTTTCATAAAGAAATTGCCTAAACTGGAATTGCTTCATTGATTAATAACATAATTATAGACCTATTTTTTTATTCTGCTTGCTTGCCGCTTTCTTCAATATTCTGATTTTTCTAAAATTAACTATGTCCGCTACATACAAAAAATCTTGTAAACAATAATAATCAGTGACCATTGCAATATGTATTTTTATCTTGGACTGCCATCTCTATTTTTTGGATAAAGTTTATTATCAAATATTATCTTCAATTATTATAATTATGTCAGTTCATTTCCTCTTCTTATTTTCGTAAAGTTTTAGTATCCGTGAAACCTAAAAAGCATTAATTAGTAATTTATTACCAAATTTATCCATTGTTTATTCTATAACAAAACTATCAATCACTTCAGTCTCGCTTCCTCTTGCACTATCGAAATTTACTGTCCAACCCGAATGTTCTTCTATTCTGTCGTAATGTTGTTCCATATTAGTCGATACATTTTAGTAATTTGCTCTTCTTTCGTAACATAACCTTAGAATCTGATGCAATTAATTGATGTATTATTTTAATAAACCTTGATTCGTGTTTACGTTTTAATTTTTCAATTAATTAAGTTAGTTTAAACATCACAGCTATGTCCGTTCATAATTTTTACACTCTTGAAACGTAAACTCAAACAGAATTGTGAATAATTATCTAAAATTATGAAACGAAATATTTATATACATATTTTGTAACATGTATCGTCGGTTACTGAATAGTCTTGTGATCACATTTACTTTTTACAATGCAGAAATCACTTACAGAAAACCTCTCTCAAAAATATTGTAATCATATGTCTACTGTTGGTAAAAATGATTCAACATCAATACTTTTAATATACGTAGGTATATCTATTACTGTTATTCCGTACTAATTTAAGTTGGAAATAAACCTCATTTCCACACGAGTATGAAAAAATTAAATACTCCAAGAAATTATGACAGTTGCTGAAATTTAAAGTCCTAATTAATTGCTACGAAAATAGTGTTACATTTCTGGATATTTTGTGAACTATTCCTTCCAGCATTTTCTATTTCTTTTTAAATTTTTCTGGCTGCTTTTCATCATAGTCCTCTACCACTACTTGACTGTCAGCCATCGTAGCTAAACTATTTTGGCTAGCAATGATGCACATCTAAAACAATGGCTGGTATATTGTTCAAAATTTGTATATCTTACTTACTATCTAAGTTGCGTTGTTTTGACTTACTACCGAATATGTTCATAAAAAAAAATAAGCATGAATTTTATATTTGACTTAAAAGTAAATTATGATATCTAATAAGAGCGTAAGTTTTGCACGTTTTCGTGCAGGAATAGAAAAGTTCTGCATCTTATGTTATTGGCATAAGCATTATTTTCTTACTTGTATACTTACATACTTCGCTTAATTATAGTTGTATAGTAAGGACTCTAGTGTTAAAATTGTATGACCCTTTTAGTCACTTATCGCTTTGAATTCTAAATAAATTTCAGCATGGTATTTAGGAAGATAGTTTCATGATGTTGAAAGTTAACAACAAACTCAAAAAATAAGCTAATATAGGGTCTGCAGGCATTTATGATTTGTATACCATAAAATACAAACTCTAAAGTGCTCTTACTGTAACTAATTTTACTATTGTATCGATGTATTTTGTCTAAAACCTTATCAAATACAACACGCGAATAAAGAAATAACACCAAAAGACTTAAATAGAAGAATTTAGTTTACCTCTTAGATAATTTTAAGACCTAATTTAAAACTAGTTTAAATATAGTGTTAACTTTTGATTACTATTCTAGTTGAAAATTCTATAAATTAAGTTTTATGCCTATATACACGGTTGTGTTAATTACATACGAAATATGTATTTAATAACAAAACTTTAGACATTACATTAAAATTCAATAGAGATTTTATTAACTTTATTTTCCCTTTGTTTTTAATAAATCAGCTATAGAATCCATTTTGTATTCTTTGAAAGTAAATATTTGTTCTCTTTTCCTTTTACGACTGTGACACAATTGTGCAACATATCTAACAAAATAATTACTTTGTTACAAATTACTTCCATTTATATGTCCATTCTACTCGGATTTTCTACTAATCTAGAAGGACTTAAAAATAAATAGTACTCTCACCTGGAGTTTGCATGTCTGACTGTTATTATATGAACGTAACACTGTATGTCGTAACAATTACAAAACAATTTTAACGAAGCCAAGAAATTTAATAATTCCATTCTCAGAAGGTTGCACACCAATTAAAATCATTAAGCTCATTTCTGTTTTTGTTATTTCACTAAAAAAAATGCAAGTGCAGCTCCCATACCCAAATCCCAGCAATTAAATCAAATTTACAAAATTACACCAATCACACTACAACCACATTCTAAAAAAAGAAACCGTATATTAAAATCGAATAATGATAAGACAGAGCATGTTACAACTACATGTCAAAAGATGATTAATCTAAACGATCTTTGTACGTGTGCGATGGGTTCTCGTTTTTTAATACCATTATAATTAATGTGTTGATACCGTTGTCCGCTGAATAATGAGAACCCATGTGTGAACACAAGAACAATATGTTCGCGTGCAAGCCCATCATCGAGCTAAAAATCACAAGATCTGACACTTTTTCTCTGGGTTCATGTTGGATCCGGCGGGACAGTCGAAGTCCGCAGCGAAGGAAGGGGAATTTCTCATGCTGGAAATGACAGCGAAAGAAGGCACTGCGTGCTCTTGGTCGAAGCGGAGCTTGGGTTGCAGCTTGGGCTGGTAGCAGCGGAACGCTCCCGACATTATCCAAAATATCTGGTTCTGGGTGTAGGGCAAGCTGGGAAGGGTTGGTTCTTGGCCGCGGACACGCACTCGTTCTTGGTAGGCGCTGTAAGCCAGGTTGGGGCCCACGAGGTCGGCGATGTTTTCTTCCAAGGCGGATTTGGCGTCTTTCTGGAATTAGTTAAATGGGCTAGTTGAGTTTTCGTGATGCGGGCATAATTTGGTGTTATTAAGGGGGCGTTAGAATGAAATTAACTGTATATTTAATTACTTGAAGCACTACATATAACGTAATTCTGAACTTTGTACTGTACACACGCATTGATCTTAATTAGTTTTTAAAGGATGCAAAAAAAAATGTGTAAACATAAAAAATATTTTTTTTCGTAGTATAAATAACACGTTTCTGCTTAGGCCACTAAATAATTGTAACAAAAAAAATATATCATAGCAATTTGATGAGTTTATTTCATAGCACACATGAAAAATACATACAAATACAAAGGAACTAAATAGACTCGATATCAAAACTATTCTTTGACCACATTTTTTCTTTCCACATCAAATGAAACACTATATCAGGGGACTGGTTTCGATTTATTCCTTCTTCAGCCCTCTACGTCCCCTGATATAGTGTTTCATTTGATGTGGAAAGAAAAAGTGTGGTCAAAGAATAGTTTTGATATTGAGTAAATTTCTTCCACGTGGGAAAATAAGTGAATATGAACTAAGTAGTAAAGCAATTTCATTGTAAACATATTCCTAAATAACAGTTGCGGTATTTTAATTTTTTTTATGGAATAACGCTTTGAAATCTTTCATCTAGATGCATAAAAATTTACGACTTTTTTATGGCACTTTTTACGGATTATTTAGGCTGAACGTGGACCTAAAATTCAGGTTTGTTTTATAAAAAAAAGCAGTCTATTCTAAGGATACGTTTTAATAGCACAATTTTTACGCAATTAGATAAAAGTTAGGAAAGGTTAAAACATTTTCGTATAACACCCCCTTAACAGATATTTTGTTAAGGCTATGCTCACAGACACAACGTACGATAAGTGCAATTTAAAGTTAACTCAAGATTGGTTAATCTATTTTTTTTAATGTTGTTGTATTAAAAAAATAGATTTAAAAAAATATAGAAGGACCATATTTATAAGTATTTTAAGTTGAAAACAGTGGTGAAAACTCAGTACCAAAATTTCCATAAATAACTGAAATATTGATTTTAAAAGATACTACCCTTATGTTATATATAGAAAACACAACAATAAGTGTGTTAATAATGGAGATATTGCATTCAGAAAATGTATTGACAACTCCATAAGAGCCAAGGGAGTCACTCTTCTTAAGCAGTCTTTTTTGTCAATCTGTGACTATTTCGTAATTCGGTTTAGGTTATTACCTTCTATTCATTGAAATTACTGATCTCTCGCAAAAAAATATTTCTGTGGTTTAGTTAGACAATACAATAATTTTTGCCCAGTATATACCAGTAAAATTTTATCAAAACCAACGAAGCGAAGACATTCTTATGGAATAAAAATCGATTCCCATTTTGATATGAAACGAAACTACAATGTTTTATGGATGATTACTCTTTGAGAAGTTTAACGGAATAATTGATAATAACGTATCCTGCAGGCCCATAATTCAAGGCTGCTTGTGAAATTGATTTGAATGCACGTGCAGCCATTACAAATCATCACATTCTATATTAACTGAAGGACCGAACCCAAGAATCTTGTTATCAATGAATTTTGAGATTCTGTAGAGTTCAGAGGGTTGTGGTGCTTCAAGAACAGTCCTCTTATTTTAAAAGTGAGTAACTGTGAAATCTTCAACTTTCAAAATATTTTATTCGATAAACTACTTTTGACTATAAGTAGGATTATCATTGGCTTCTAGTTAAGTTTTGCATGAATCAAAAGAAAAGCAAAATCAACACGAAAATCACACTTTCAACTGCCAACAACTTATACATGTTTAGTTTATTCACCTTTATGTGTTTGGGTTACACATTCGTTTTTAATTTTTTGCAGTAAACGAATACGCCCATTAAATGAAAAATTGGCACTAAATTTTTTACGCATTAATAAACAAGATATTGAACTATAAAATTTTAAATATGCCGCAATCGTTTTATGTGGTTACCAGCCTCAGTTATTTCCAAAAAATACCACTTAATTTTACTTACAATAAAAGTAAAAAATATTGTAATTAGTCTAATTAGTGGCATTAAACATTTCAAATTTATGTTTTGATTTTAGTTCGAGAATAGTTTGGTGAGCTGTGCGCCAAAAATGAGGGATGAGTTGTATTTCAAATTTGTGCCTTCGTAAATAATTGTACACTTGCGTGGAGCTAATAACCCGAAATGTAAATATTTTGCAAATGTGTAAATACCTAATCGCATTATTAACAAGACTTTGTGAAACATCGAAAATTATCTTCATTTAGAGACATTAGTGTAAATTAAAAAAACAAATTCAGCATTTATTGCTGCGAGAAATTTCGAAATCGTAACGTAATTGTATATTTTTGTCTTGCGAGCAGTCTCGCTGTTTGTAAGATAAAAGTGTAACAGTTTGGCAATAACTTTATACAAATAAACATACCGATTGAACTTCAGGGACACCTAAACGTTCCACGCCTTAAGAAATAACAGACTATAGTGACATTACCGTGAATTCCTTCAGGTGACCACTATACTGCTGATAATCCTCCAACAGGCACTGAATTTTCTCTTCGTAATGTCGAATGGCATCTGGAGACCAATGTATTTCTCCGCTTTCAGATTTATTTTTATGAGCAACAAAAGCATGTGTGAATTCATGTCCAATTACACTACCCAGTGCACCATAATTCATGTACTGCGGACGGTGGAAATTGTAGATCACACCTTGAAGAAACGGAGCAGGTACAACTGGAAGGTTTATTTTTAGTACGATTTTTCTGGAACAGCGACCCGCATACCTAAAGTGTTGAAATCCTTATTATAAAAAGCGTTAATGCTCAACACCGGTGATTTCGTCAGTGCTTCCTTTGTCACGATTTCTGGATCTTGGTTGACGATTTTGAAGTAGTTGTCAGCGCGTTTGGCGTAGAGCTTAGTCGCCATTTCCATTATGTTGTCAGTGTACAAATCAAACTAAAAAAATTGTCATTGTTACACAAGTTGTTGTTATTTTTATTGTTACCTCGTCCATGTCGACGACTTTATCAAAATCGTCACCGTACGCTTCGTCCGAAGATCCTATATGTTCATCCACTGCAGAAACTTTATTAATTGAGACGTTTTTAGAAATCCGATCTAACCAGTCAGTCTTTCGGATTTTATTAATCATTTGAGCCTTAATGGTGGCCGTCATTCCTTTGACGTTTTTTCTTTTTTCTGGTTGGAGATACCTTCTTACGTATGCCAATTCGGCAACTGAAGGGAAGCTTCTTCAGAAGTTTAATACAAAAGTAATTTACACAATACTCACTAGAATTTCGCTTTATTTAAGCAAAACACGTGTCGGTTGCTCATAAATGCATAATCAGGATTAAGGGTAATCAAGAACGATTCATAACGACCACGTATACTTTCTTTTAAATAACTGCGGAAATTTTCTATAATTTTCCAAACGACATAATTGGCCTGCGTTCTGAAATTAGATTCAAGGAATTTCTATAATCGTATTTAACACGACCTACGATTTTGGTGTCCTTTCTATCAAGTTTAGTAAGTTTAATAAATATCGTGACGCCCTCAAGCGCACCAATGTGTCATCGTCAAAACGAATTGCCGTCTGGGTCAGTTCATTGAGGAAATATTTCCAGGGAATTGTGGGAAAGTCGCTTTGTAGTTTTGATACGGTTACGATGGTTTCCCGACCGTTTTCGTTTTCATCTTGTACCAACTAAAATTGATTTTTGATTTACACTTTATTGATTTTTTTAATACCAACCGCTTTTAATTCTTCTTCAAATTTGTACACTCGGATGAACTCGTTTTTGGCCAAGTACGAAGGGGCACCCATATCGATTGAAATGTTCGCCATTATATCAATGTAAAGCTCCCTCAGCTGATAAGGCAAATGAATGACGGCCGGAGGGGTTATCTAAAGCAAAAAATTATATTTTTGAAACACAATTTAACATCTTACCGTCAAAAGTATTCTTGTGTCGTTGGCCGCATTAGCAGATATTCCCATGAAATGTTCATAAGCAAAACCGATTTTTCTACACTGTATCATTGACGTTAACCAGTTGAATTTTCTTTCGTCCCAGAAGCGTCCGTGCAACACTGGCCAATCCCCCAATTGTTGAATTAAATTAGAGAAAGTCGTTGTATCATCCTTTTCGATTGCGTTAACGTCCATACACATCTTGTAATACTTTCTCTGCAATTCCCAGGATTTAGGTAACGTGCCCTCAATGGGTTCGGTAATCAAGGCATCCAGCTGGTTTAAAGTGATCCCTTCAAACTTACTCAGAGGGGTAATTTCGTTTGTTGCCGCGGATTTACGCAAAAAATTCCCGCAAACAAAGCTGTAAAAATCATCACAGGGGTCGATAGTTGTGTCAAGGAAATCGATAATTTGGGAGGCCGCCTGAATGCAATGATGGGTCATGCAAATCGCCGTCCCATTGTTCCCGGTGACGGGACTGGGAGTGATGAAACTGGCATGGTTGTATTCCAACGCACTCGGCACTGCTTTATATCGAAACGGCGATTTATCACTCTTACCGTTCTGCAGGTAAAACACGAAAACCGAGAACAGGGCAATCAACAAACATAACAACAACACGATAACAACAATCAGGATCTTCTCCAGGATGCTTCTTTTCGCACAGCAGGTTCGCTTGTACTCCTTCATTTTCGCCGGCACTTCCACAATTAATTACTATGGTAATGTCCACGCCGTTATATAATTTTTGCAGAGTACTTGACGACGTCTTAAAAGTAACTGTTTACACGCAGGACTGACTCATCGAACCAATTCCAGGAATTAATAGTTATGTAATAATGGAAACGATCGTGCTACGTTTTAATTAACTTTAATTTAATTGAAAGTAATTAAGACGGTTACAGTATCTGACACTTATTTCGAGGATTCATAGTCGAACCTAATTCGCAACGAAAGTCTTTGCTAAAATGGGGCGAATTACGAAACGGTCCGACGATTCTGAATGACTGCATCATGTGATCGAAGCGACTATAATTTAATTCTGGGACAGGCAAATGACACATCGATGTACCATACGCCAGCCAAAATAATTGGTCGTTGCTGAAGCTCAAGTCGAGGAGCTTTTTCTCCGAGTGGCTTTGTTTCAGCAGCTTTTGATACGCCTTATAAGACAAGTTAATCGCGATGTAATCGGACATGGTTTCCAGTAAGTTACCGCAATTAACCTGTAACAAGTGTCTGTAATTTATGTGATCACATCGTTAGCAACATACTTCTTTGAACTGAGGCAAACCTTCGGAACAGTTTTTCAAGCAACGCACTGCTTGGTTGAAATTTTCCAAAGTACTATTTGACCACAAGGTAAAAGTACGAAAAAGTCTGGCGTACAAACCGTGCAACATTTCGTAGGCGATTGTAGTACCCATGGTTCCGTAATTTAAATAATTGGGACGGTCATCGTCGTAAAAAAAATCGTGGAGTACCCCAGCCGGTATCCCTAAAAAAACAACGTTTTGAATTCTGCCACTGAGAGAGTTTTGCAGTACAGAGTAGATTAAAGTTCTGATAGAAAGCGATTTCTTGCGAAGTAACCAACTCGTAGAACGTGTATTTAAGGTAATTAGTGTCCTCATATTTCTTGCTGTAGAGTGTGTCGAGTGCTTTGTGGAAAATATCAGTCGTGATCTGGATTATGTTCGACGTTTTGAATTCTAACTAAATTAAGATTAAGTCAGTTGGTTGCCGATCTGGAGGGACTTTAATTACATTGCCGACTCCGAAGTCTTTATCAAACTGTTCCGCATAGTACATTTCCTCGGGACCACCTATAATATAACTCATGTTTTCTAATCTACTAATTGCTGCCCTTCTCATATTTTCATCCATCCAGTTGACTTCCCGCAAATGTTGTTTAATCTCTTTCAAAATTCTCTCCATCATTTCTTCAATATTTTTGCTTTTCGTTTTGGTCACGTGACGTCTCAAGTATTCGGCTTCAAGTGCGTACTGAAAACTAGTTCTCTTACTTTAATGAGACTTTGCCGCCGCGAATCTTACTAGGATTTAGCCTCCTCGAAACAGAAGTCTTCTCTGTCCTTGTACCACAAATCAGTTTGATTAGTCGACGCAACATAATTGTGCACCATATCTCTAATCCTCTTAGACAGAAAAGGCGAGTAGGCTTCGACTAATTTCCACATAACGTAATTGACTTGAGTCCTAACAATTGACATAAATAAATGCCCACAATTATTGTAACAATTACCTCTTTGTGGTCTGTTTCAATAACTTATCAAGTTCCGGCATATAATTTTCCACGTAAAACGCAACCAGTTGGTCGTCCGAGAGTTTCTTTTTCGTTAAGTGGTTTATCAACTCTAACCAATTAATATTTTGCCACTTCTGCTGGACTTCCGCGATGGTTATTAAGTGTAGAGGTTGGTGCGAATATAGCCGCTCGTTTTCGTTATGTATTTTCTCTATTAACTAGTGGTTAGTTAATTAGTTGCGGCTTTCTACTCTTGCAGCTACTTACATTGACTAATTTATTTTCAAAGTACATGACCTCTGGCATTTGCGACTTTGCGACGTCTTCCAGCGCTCCGAACGCCACGGCGGACTTCGTCATTAAATCGATGTATGCTTCTGCGGTCTCCTCTTCGATTTTATTGGCGTTATCAGGAACGTTGATCTTAAAATGTTCATTAAAATTCATTAGTGACACTATAAAAACTAACCTCGAGTATGATGCTTTGTCCTCGATTCGAATAGACAGAAATCTCCAAAAACCAATCATGTTGAAGTCCTTTTTCTCTTAACTCTGCCATGAATTCGGCAAAATCAAAAGCGCTTTCGTTCCAATTGTTGCCACTGACCACAGGCCATCCGCCCAATTTGCTTATTATATTTGCAAACGTGGTATCATTGTCTACGTCGATAACCTCCAAATTAGTACAAGATTGATAAAACAGTTTTTGGAGTTGAAGTGATTTGACGTCTTTGGTTCCGATTGGTTCGGAGATGATTTCTTTGAGAATTTTGATATTTGGAGATCTGTCGTTTGGTTGTCGGGCGTTATTAAAGGCGTTGCCGCAAACAAAGTCGTAAAAGTTATCACAGGGTTTAGCTCGAGGGTTCATCAGTCGGTGGATGTGCTCAGACGCTTTGTAACACGAAGACGTGTAGCAAAATGCGGGTTCTGGAAAGATGTCCACTTAATGTATTCACACGCATAATTTTACTCACCAGTGATTAGCAGAATTAGAGTAATGAGCCCGATTACAAATGTTACGAGTACAACTAACGTCACCAAACTTTTTTTCTCTAAAACCGTTCTTTTCTTCCAGCATTCCATCATCACACTTTAGCGGTCATTTCCAAATTAAACTCGCTGCATATTGAGCTATTACGTTTCATTAGGATGTTAAGGCGGAACGTTGGGTGTAGGTAATTTAGAAAAAACGACACCAGAATAACGCACGGGCTAACTTCAATTAAGTTTTATTGGTTAAGGTCAACATTAATTAGAGCATTTTTCATTTATAAAAATTATCAACACTTCGCTAATGGATTCATCTTTGTGTTTTCGGTGCAACCGAAGTCCCCACCGAAGTGACGTGAGTGTCTTACTGCTAAAACGTTCTTGTACTTTGATACCATTAGATTAAAATCGCTTTCGTCTTCAGTGTATGTCAATTTTTTGTGGCAATTAATTAAACTCGACTTGATCCAGAACAACTGGTTCGGACTGTACGACAAAAGTGGCAGTTGGGTTTCTTCTCCATTTGCTGTAACCCACTTTTGATAAACGTCATAGGAAATATGGCGACCTATTACATCAGGAAGTACTTCTCGGATAACATCCAAGCTCTTAAATGTTGTCTAAAATTCGTATTTAAAAATAGTTGTGGAAGGTTATTTACTTGAATACCTGTTCCGATGCCGTTTTTTCATAATCAACTTCTAGACACCTATTAGTAACAAGTTGCGTACTTTTAATGAATTCTGCCGCTATCAGACTACCCAGGCTTGCAAAATTTAAATAATTCGGTCGCTCATTTTCATAGAGAAACCCATGCAACATCGCCGGCGGAATAACTTCAACAATTTACTAGATATTAATTTTAAAAACGAGTTAAGCTGACACTTACCCATTCTTTTCTTTGAACTATCAAACAAAATGTATTGAACATCCATAGTTTGAAGAAAATTTGTTATTTCAGGTGACAAGGCAGTTGTGTTAATATTGGTAAACAAAGACTCATAAAAATATTTCGATCTCGTGGTGATTATTTCAATTATGCCAGGATTATCTGAATCGAAAGTAAGATTGCCTATATGCCAGAAGTTAGCTTCCAGGAAGTCTTCATTTACTAAGTCGAAACCTACATCCACTTCGAAAACATTATTGAAAGTGTTGACGACTTCTTGACCGAGGGAAGTATTTCGCCAAGCTGATTCTTCAACGATTGTTAGAAATTCTTGTCTCGTTAAATCTGTTAACTCTGTTACAAAATTTTTGACTTCCTCATTAACGTATTTTCGCACATATTCTATTTGTGCGAAATATTGAAAACTAAAAGAAAGTATAAGATTTTTATATAGAATTTATAAGAAGTTGTTACTTTTTCTTCGCCGTTGTTTCACAAAATTGGGTCCGAACATTCTTTGGAATTTCTGGAATTCCATGTTTTCTAACATTATTGGACAAATACGGAACAAAATGCTCAACAATTTTCCACATAATGTAGTCAGCTTGGATGCTACAACCAGCAAGATACTGTATGCCTCTACGTATTCTAAAAAAGATAACTTACCGCTTGGGAGTTCCATTCAAAAGTTTGTATAGATCCACAATGTATTCGTTAACGTTAGATGCTACTTGTGTGTCTTCATCTAAATTGTTTTCCGTAATATCGTTAAGAAAATTTAACCAGGGAAACAGCGAATGTTGTGTTTGCAATTCGCCAACCGTAGTTAAAATAGTCTTCGATTTTTGTTTTTTTATTATCTGCAAAAATTCACTTATTTTCATCTCAAGCTATCACTAAAACCTTACATTTATTAAACTCTGCTCGAAATCGGAAATAGTTTTGGCGTTCACTTTTTTCCCGAGTAGATTACTCATAATGTGTCCTACTGTAGTTCTATTAGCTTTGGCTGACGAATCCAGTAGTGGGTAAGATATCTAAAAGATAACAATCAATAAACATTTTTCCCTCTTGCGATTCAACAGTCACTTTAAGATATTTTAAATCTTCTTCGTGCAAACTAAATTGTAGAAACCACTGAAACGGCAAACCTAATTGTTTGCACCTCACGGTAACCTCCATCCAGTCGAAATCTTTTTCTACCCACCCTGACGTCTTCCGTAATGGCCACTCACCTACGTCATCAATTATATCTAATATTACTTTGTTATGGTTTTCATCATTTTTCTCCACATTTACGCAAGCTTGGAAAAACATTTTCTGAATTTTGATCGCTTCCGAATCTTTATTTGTGACCGGTTGTACTATCATTCCTTCTAATTCGTTGTAGTATTCTATTTGGTCTTGAATGACCTTAGCCGTAACTTGTGTTTTGTAAGAGTTTTCGAAGAATTTCCCACAAGCAAATTGATTGAAGTCTTCACAAGGATCGACTGATTCATCGATGTAACTTTGTATTTCTATAATCGACTCGTAACAACCTGGCGTTGGGCATTCACTCGGTTCAACAAGTGAACTATTCTCACCAGTTTCATGGGATGTTTGGAAATATATCAAGTAACTTATCGTTCCAACTAGGAGGACGGCTAACACTACTTCAGTTCGAGTTATCTGACGGGAGATGTTTTTGTTCATGTTTTTCGAAGGGTTGTTTGAACTGCAACATTTTTGATTAAGTCAAACCTGGGGAAAAAGACGACACTCACTTGGCGTTCATTTCTGCAAACGTGCGTACAGGATGCTACTGCTCTGTTTGCCAACAAATACTGATGTAATTTTATATTTATTTAAAAAACCTTGTAATAATTGCGGTGTTTATAATTATGGGAAACAGGAGCGGACCAGGCAAAGTATTTAAGAATGTCAACAGGGACCTTAACGGGTCACTCATTTACTTGTAAAAATTTGGTCTAGTTATTTGATGAACGAATAAAATTTTATCAATATCCTGTAATCACTAGTACTATGGTACTTGGTAATCGACTCCATGGGCAAGTCGCTACTTTTATGTTTTCTCGACGTTTCCTGACTCATAAAATACGAAAACATAGGTATATCGTTTCCGTCTATCTGCCGTTTGCCGTCTATTCGCATCTATGTCAAGTTTTCTCCCCCTAAGGGCCGGTTTATCAATGCGCAGTTAAGTTAAAGTAACTGGCAGTTAAAGCTTGTCTGTCAGTTAACCTGTTTATCATTACCCGCTAGCTCAAAACTGGTGGTCAAAGTGCCTGATAAATTGACTGACAGTTCGAACTGTCAGTTAAAACGTTATCCGCCAGTTAGTGACAACATAACCTAACAAATCCAAATAAATCTGTTATGAATTTAACAATATTTTGATGAGGACTTTTGTTGTGCAACAAAAATGGACAGAGAAAAGATGAGAAAAACACTTATTATTAGCTGATTATTTTCCAGGTCTAATGTGGGTACCAAAAATTAAAAACCTATCCAATAATACCGCGAGATCGAAAAAGAAATTAATCGAAGTAGGCCATGCACGACAAGCCGTTTGTCGTAATCACGGTGGTAGGGTAATTTAATTTTTTTTATTAAATGTCAAATTGACAGTTTAGAGATTAGAATTATGACGCCTATTTTTAAAACACATAAGAATGAATTAAAATCACCGTTTTCCAATTTTGTCTAAAATTTATCCGATTTCTGAAGATTCTAATAACAAAAAAGCTTTAATTTCGTTTGATAACAGTGCAAATTACTTTTGTCAACGTGACGATTAATCAAAAATTATTTTAAACTAAGACAAACGCCTTTTCGTGTATGGCCAACTTTGACTAATTTCTTTTTCGATCTCTCTGTATTTATTTATAGGTGTACCTACTTGTTTCATTTTTAATTTCCAATACTTTTTTTCTAATGCTAAATTTTGTTTTTTCATGATTGATCACGTGAAACGCGATATACAATCGTTGAATACCGAATGCGGATCGAATCTGATGGAACTTTCAAGGTCGGGGTAGTTTTGAACTGACCAATCACAACTCATTTCCAGTGGTGTGAGCGTTACCAACTTAAGAGAGTAACAGCTAAACTTCGAGCTACGAAACTGGAAGAAACATCGTGCATTGATAAACACTTCACCTCCGTTAACTGCTAGTTACCCTTATCTGACAGTTACTTAACAGACACTTTTAACTGAGCATTGATAAACCGGCCCTTAGACAGATAATTTCTAAACTACCGGACGATTGTTGTCAAATTTTGTAGGTATATTAGAAATATAATGTAGATGCTAATCGCTAACCAAAATTTGTTTGATCATCCCCACCACCAATGCGATGACGTCACCTCCAAAATTTGCAATAGTAAATGTTATTTAAATTTTATAAAATAGTATACTCCTGATCTGATCTTCTGAAGAAATTATGTTTTTTACGTTCCACAATCGTCAGCGCGTTCTCAGCTGTGTTTCAAAACCTCACCCCTTTATTGAAAATGGTCGCCCTTTTACGAGATGTTTTTTTTTCTTCTTTGTATGTTGCCTTTTTTTCTTTCGGTTGTTCAACACATTTAATACTATGTGTACTTTTGAAATTTTTTAACACTTCTTGTGTGGATAAAACAATAATTTAACTAATGACTTATGTTAGCAATTTGTTGTTGGTTCACACCTGTAGACTAAAATAATCAAATATATATAATATTACTAATAATAATAACTAATTGGAGTTATCACATGAGAGAATTTTTGGTTCTTGTCTTTTGGAGGATTATTTAAACTACAACATATTTTTAACTAAGTAAAAACTGGAGAAAAAAACGACACTTAAAGGATGCAACTAATCTGTTGCCAACAAATTTTAATGTAATTTTGTTGTCATAATTGCGGTCTGCACAATATGGGAAACAGGGGGGAACAAACAAGGTATTTAAGAAAGTTCAAAGATAGAACAATTTATTCTGCCAGTAATAATCGCTGCGGATTTATTAAAGAAACAGTTTATGTGGTCGTAGTTTTTATTGAACGTAACTCTATTATACAAAATCGGAGGTAATTTAATAGTATACTAGCGAAAATTTTCTACAACAACTCACATTTATTGTCAGGATTCATGGGTGCTTCTGCCGAACAGTTAAAGTCTGCTGCGAAAAATTCAGAATTTTTAACACTTTCAAGGATTCTGAGTTTCAGCATTTGATGCATATGTGGATTACTTTTCTCTTCTGGGAGTGCATGATAACACCAATTCAGAGTAGATCTAATCCAAAATAATTGATTAGAGCTGTATGGCAAATTGACGAGTTGCATTTCTTCTTCATTATTTTCTACATATACTTGATAAGCCTTGTAAGCTAATTGTTGTGCCATTAGCGACTCATAGTTCAGAGAAAATAAGAGCGATGCATTCAAACGTTTCTACAAAATGAACTAAGGAATCTTCGTCGTTATATATGGTTAACTTACGTTCGATTCTTGCAAATTTTTAATGAGGCATTTTTTGTTTTCTTCAAAACTTTTGTAACTTTCATGTTTAGTTTTGGTTAAGAGTTGTAGACCTCGTATTAATTTTTCAGTGGTGTGGATTCCTAGACCAGCGTAGTTGAGGTATTGTGGCAAATCGGCGTCATACAAAATACTGAAAAATGCCAACGCTGGTAGAACTAGAAGCAATAAAATTTTAATAAATTTTGATTTGTATTAGTCATGTTACCTAATATCTGCTCAGTATTGTCTAAAACCACTTCAAACTTCGAATTCGCGTCGTGAACAAACTCATAATCCATTGTAGTCGGTTCTCCGATCAGCACCATTTTAGCTGCGAATATACTTCTATACCAGTCAATAATCATTTGAATTATATTATCAGAGTAGAACACAAGCTGTGAAGAATTAAACAATGAGAAGTGGTGGTTGTATAATGGATCTAATAAACCTTGCCGACAGGAGTTTCATCAGTCAGAAAACTCTCTTCAAACATGCTTTCGGTCCCACCGATTATGACTTCTAAATTGTCATAAAAATTTGAATACGATTCTACCGATCTGTTGTTTCTCCATTCGACGCTTTTAATAAAACCTATGATTTCCTCTTTCAGTGAATCAACCAACTCTATTCCCGTCTCTTGGACTGAAGATTGTGCGTAATCTTTGAGCTGAACAAATTCAGATATAAATTTGAACCTACAATACAAAAATGAAGTTTGTTTAAAACTAGTGTTAATACCAACTTGGATTTGGTGTCGTCGAGGCAAAACTGGAACCTACTGATTTCTGTTTCAGACGTCTCGCTTAAATACTCAGCGTATCTCTCCCTAATTGGTTTTGACAAGTACGGAGCAAAATATTCTATAATTTTCCACAGTATGTAGTTGGCCTGCACCCTAAAAACTTTGCATGTAGTTATATTACATAGTTAGAATTTATTCGTTCCTTACTTTTTCGGTGTTACTTTTATTAAGTGATTCAGCTCAAAAAGATAATCCGCGTTTAAGGCTACCGTGGAGTCAGGTCTCCACCTATGTGTCAGTCCAGTAATAGCCTTTAAAAAATTCGTCGCTTTCACGTTCTCGAGCCGTAGTTGAATCATCCTGGTTGGAAAAATTTCCGTTTGGCTTTTATTAATACAAATTTCGTTTAAGTCTTTCTGAAATTTCTCCAAATGCACAAATTCATAAATGGCATCGATTCCTAGTTGCACCAACTCTTCTAAAATGGCTCTCTGCATAATAAAATATTCCTCCGTAAGTTCAACGCCACAATTTTCCGGATGAGAAAGCTGCAAAATTGCGTAAAATCAAGTCCCGATGCGCATACCCTAACAATAAATTATCCACATTACCTTTAATTCATAATTATCGTGACTTAAAAGATCCACCTTTAAAAACCACTCAAACGGTAAACCTAATTCTCGGGTTTTAATCATCACTTGCACCCAATCAAAACTTTTCTCTTCCCATTCGTTGTGTTTTCGAAGAAATGGCCAATCACCAATTTCTAAAAGTTTTTTAAAAAGGGTCTGATAGTTGTCTTCATCAAAGTCTTCTTCGTTTAAGCACGCCTGGAAGTAGGTTTTTTGCATTTTGACAGGTTGAGGTTCATGAAGTTGAGGGGGCTCCACTATGAGAGTGTCAAAATGACGAATTACTCTTTCTCGTTCGGCGTTTAGTAAGTTGTTTATTTGTTTTTCGTAAGCCAGATTTTGGAATTTTCCACAGACGAAGGCATAGAAATCCTCGCAGGGCTCTACTGTATCATCAATAAATTCGCTTATTTGAGCTGATGCTTTGATGCAAGCAGAATTCGTGCATTCTTCTTGAGATGCGCCACCTTAGCATATTAAGGTCTATTACACGTGCTAACATAACCAGATAAGTGATACTCACTTTCTATGAATCCAATGAAAAGAAAAACAACGAATGATAGAGCTATTATTAGGAACATTACAAACATCGCCAAACATATCGACAATTTGTTGCGTCCGCAGCATCCGTGTGCATTGGTCTCAGTTTCAAAATCCCTAATTAAATGAAAAGGAAAAGCCTTGATTTTGTGAAAAGTTGCAGTCTTTTATACTCACTCTATGCTCATGTTTGTTTTTCACTCACATTTAACTGACTGCACCATTAATTGTTGTGGACCGGAATTTGTGTTTAGTTTGGCGAATTTTTTAATAAATTGTTCAGTGGAGCTATTTATAAATGATGTTATGTGAAGCCAGCTTCATTTAATTAGCAGCATTATTTTTCACACGAAACAAATTAAAACTATCGCGCATGGAGAAAATCTCGAAAATTTGTAAAAATTTTGTTTAATTAGGTATTTGGTAGAGAAATAAAATTTGATTAATTTTTCTTTAATCACTGAAACAATCTTACTTATAATAGTGTATTATCAAACATTTTTAACAGGTCAAGTTTCTGAAATAAACTTTTGATGGCAATAATATTAATCTAGTTTTTGGATTTTTTAAAAATGTTGTACTAGAGAATAATCAAATCAAGGTAATATGTTGCTTATAAGTAACTTTTGACAATTTTGTTCATGTAATTTGTGTCAAAAAAAAAACAAGACAATTAACAGTGACATTCATTGATCTATGGGAACCAGGTTTACGCATCTTGTCCACTTTTTTTTAATAAAATAGTACAAATTAAAATTGCGTAATAGTTACTCAGTGTGTGGGATACACACATTATTCTCGCACAGACCTGGAAATAGCGCAAATGAGGGCGTTAGCCCGAGTTTTGCGTAGCCATGGAAGTGTCTAAACACTACTATTAGTGGATCACACCAATTGTGTACAAAATTTTAACCGTTGAATTTTACAAATGGAACAATTTTTGCTATTCTCAATCATGGACTAATTCCTCTGGATAAAAACTTTGTGAATATTAATTCAAAGCAGCAGCTAAATCTTATTGTTCAAAATCGTAGCAACGTATCTCCTTACAGGCAGTGTAGACAGAAACAAATTTTGCTTCTGTAAGCAGGTGCAGCTCTTAAAGGCGACAAAACCAATCAGTTTTATTTATTAACCCCCACTTAAGACACATATCTCAGACGCCAAGGATGCATTTTGATGGCAGTTAGTCAGACAAAGTGAATGTACAGTAGCTGATCGGCGTGAAGGCCCAGCTGTGTTGTGACGGTCTGACAGGGCCGAACTCGGCTTGAATGATAAGAGTTGGGTGTTAAGGTGTTGATAAGAGAAGGTGGCAGGTTATGATGAACCTGGCCATGAGAGTAGTGTTGACGCGTAAAATCTCCCACAGATACCATAGTATGTACCTGGGCACTGAGGGCGTACTCAGGTGGAGCGCACAACTTTATTGCCTTTTTACATTATTAATAATGATGTCAACATCCTGAGAATTTTTACCATTAATTATTTCAGGGCCCAAATAGGTCTAGCGTTTCACTTATATATTTATTTTCATGGCAAACGATTGTTAGGTAAATAATAGTTACTTACAATTTAGGTGATTTTTTAGATCTGACCGTGCTAATAAATGACTTAGCTCTTGTAGATTTTAATAGTTTTTTTAAAGTGGCGTTTTTGATTTTTCTTAAATACATATGTCAGTTTTAATGTTTCTGATTGTGAAGAATGTCATCAGATTTTTTTTATGTCTGAGTCTGCAAGCGGTTTAAAGATTTATTCCTTGACTTAGCGAATGTAATATTTTTGACGTTTTGATACTGAACTTGGTGTCTCATTAAAATTTATCTTTCAAAGCAAACGTTTCATCATTTTGTGTTTGTGTGTATTAATTGCACTTAAATGCCAAGACGCTGCTAATGAAGTAACATTTATTACAAAACATTTAACTTTATTATCACAACATAAATAGCATTTAACGTTAAGTGTTTACAATATCCGACACTGTCTCTTCGGCAAGATCGTAGAACTTTGTGAACAGTTGAAATCTGCAGGAAAATTGCGTGAATTCCTCAATGGACCAATAATTTTAAAGCGAGAATAATCCCTGTCGCGTTTCGAGTAAATTTTGCTACAAGATAATTTACTTGTGTGAATCCAGAATAATTGGCTGGGGGTAAATTCCAGAGCCGGTAGTCCGAACTCTTGCGGATGGTACACAGCCCACTCCTTGTAAGATTCATAGGCTACTTCTGGAGCCACGAATTGAGCTAAGAGTTGGCGCATTTTCTTCGGTCTTTTTAGCTGTAAAACATAAGAAAGATTTCTTGAAATGATCATTTATAATAGCTACCTCTGCATTGTGCATGTAGGAGGATGATTCTTTTGTTAAGCACTTTACCGCAGACTCAAAAATGTCCAACGTCCGGAAGCTGTTGTAGTTGTCGTTGTCTTCATCAGTGGCACTCTCATTGTTTAGATCGAAAACGTGTTCAAATATTGCTTGTGCTAACGCTTTCCCCACTGTCGCATAATTGAAGTAATTCGGCAGTTTTGGATTATAAAACACGTCCCTTAATACAGCTGCCGGTATCACTAAAGGGTCGAATTTTAGTACCCGCCGCCAGAAATATCACTAAAACCTACCTAATGTGTTGCCATTTATAACCGTAAATCTGCTTATATTAAGAACCTTCTCGTAAAATTCCAACGTACTATTCGTTACTGCCTTATTAACTACCCGGAAATAGTTGTCATAAAACCGGATCCTCCGCTCCATGAGCATATCGATAACATTCCTTGATTTAAACACGAACTACAATCACATCCCTTGAAAACGCATTTCTATAATTATTCGCACTCTCACCCCAAATAACCCCAAGTCCTCGGCGAACCCGTATTCGTCAAATATCTGTCGAGGCCCTCCAACCAAAAATTCCATATTCTCTAATTTGAAAACCACCCTATGCCTGACTTCCTTATTTATCCATGTAGCTTTTTTCACCATACTGATAAACTTGTCTCGAACAATAAAAAGCATCTCCTTCACTAATTCTCGTTTCTGTTGAGTCACGTGGCGACGAATGTACTCAGACTCCGCAATCAATGGGAACCTGGAAGTTAACACTCTTGCAGAGGTTAATTGCGGTTAAATGGATGACTTACTGTTTTCTGCTTTCGTTTATGCAAAATTTCTGACGGTTGAGTTCCGGCGGACGGTTGTATTCTTTTTCGTAGTATTCTTCGAAAAGCTCGCGGACTGGTTGGGACAGGAACTGCCAATATTCTTCTACGACTTTCCACATCATGTAGTCGGCTACAATTCTAAAAGAAGGTGAAGGCTTTTGGTTTTGTAAATTGTTTGCCTACCTTTTTGGAATTCCATAAATTAGGTGATTCAAGTCTTTGACGTAGTCGATGACTTCGTCGAAGATAACGTAATCGGACCCCATCAAGTTTAAGCCTGTTATGTTGTTGATTAATTCTAGCCAGCGGATGTTGGGCCATAGGGTTTGAACTTCGTTAATTGTTACTTTTGGAGGTGAAACCCAGTTGCGTTTTTTCTGGTTTCTGTGGTTATCGGCAAGCTAAATAAAGGCCATTGTTCAAATTAGACCGATTCAAAGATATCAACAACCAACTAAATGGTTTCAAACAAATATATTTCTGCAATTGTATCGATGACGTGTTTATTTGTTTAAAATCCATTTTAACTTTGTAAAAGTAAAAGTAATTTTTGAAACTTAAACTATTTTATCGTAGGACACTGCTACACACGTCTTCAGGTAGAAGTTATACTTTTTATTGTTTACTTTTTTTAATAGTGTGAATATATTTCTAATTTTTTTAGTACCAATTAAAATGTAGAATTAGCAAAACAGACTAGTTAAACTACAATATTTGATACGTCTAAAACATTTTTATTACCACCTTAACAAATTTGCCAATTTCTTTGTAACGAGTTTCTAAATATATTTATGAAAATTTATTTTCATGACATAATCTGTAATAATTTCACACGTCTAAAATAATATTTTAATAAAGCCTTAAAAAATCCGTTATAACAACAAATTTGGCTCGTGTCTTCTAAATGAAGTACCCACTTTAGACGGATAATTTTTCTTCGGTATTCATGAAATATGACATATGATACTGCTTGAAATAATTTAACGCATAATGTCCAAGGTCAAGTATTACAAGTGCGCTAAAAATAAATATGTTGTGTAAATAAAAAAAATAAGATACCGATGCAAATGTTCAAAAACTTGGTTTGCAGTTTCTATCGTGTGTCGTAAAGTTGTCTTGTACAATTTCCAATTTTTGTTTACCTTGTAATTTAAAATGACGTTATGAAATTTTGGATAGCGTTTCACCATCTAAGCAATAGATGTAACGCTCCTGCAGTGTCGCAGATTCACAACCACTACAATAGATGATGTCAGGTAAGCAAGCAACAGACACGCGAAAACAGAAGATGTACTTTTTCGTATTCTAAGAAGTATGAAAAGTCGAAACAATATGGAATTAGCCGTTCGTCAAACGAGCTCTATTACAGTACTTCTTTAGCGTACTGTCGGGAAATTAAAAACTCAAAATCACTGTCACTACCATCTTTTAAGTCAACTTCGGAAAATGACTTTTTTACTTAAGAATTTTGAATGAATTTTAAATAAGTGGATCAAATTTAAACTATTCAGTGATAAAACAACAAAAAAATTGCTCAATCAATCACTCCTTAATATTATCTGGAGTTATTCACAAGAGAAAAAAAAACAAGAATTAACTAACTCAAGATTAATGACTAGGGCCTTAGAATCAAATTTTAGTAATATTTCTGTAACAACTTAACATAACTTTTAGCCACTAAATTTTGACATGATGTCGTTTCTCAGTATCTTTTTGACAGTCGTTAACTCACATTGATGTTATATTTTTAAACAACTGACGATCGTCCTCGTTTAGAAGATAGTGTAGAAACAGAAATGGTGTTAGCGCCTCGTACTTACAGTTCTTAAATCTTGTTCAAAATCGATCGTTCTACCAGTTTCATAATGCGCCAACCTTTCGGGAGCACCTAACGCTATGGCAACTTTCGTAAAAAACTTCTGACGAGGAAAAATTTCTTCACTTTTGAACGGCGAAAGAGACGGAATATCAATCTAAATCAACAAAAATCCAACGTCTAAATCCAATACTTGCTCGCATAACTCACTTTCAAAATATTCAAACCCGTATCATTAATATCTGGATACACACTAAAATCCAGAAACCAATCAAACTTCAACCCCGTTCTACGAATTTTCTTTGCGACTTCTGTCCATTCAAAAAAGGCTCCACTCCAGTGTGACCCACGAAGGACCGGCCAATCTCCCACACTATAAAATAGATTCAGAAGTGTTTCATCATCGTCCATTTCGATCGCTCCCAAATTAGAACATGACAAATAGAACGACTTCTGCATAATAAACGGTTTCGAATCTTCCATCTGGACTAGATCTTTTATCATAGTGTTTAATTCTTCTTCTGGTGTCGGAATGGGAATCTCTCTTCTGTTCTTAATAAAACTCCCACACACGAACCCGTGAAAATCATCACATGGATTCATCGATTTGTCAGCGTATCTTATAACTTGGGCTGACAGATTAATGCAGTGTTCCGTTTTACAGATGTTATTGGCTGCTGCATGTCGATCGACAGGTTAGACAGTAAATGAAGGCTGCGCACTTACCTGCTGTCCGAGTAACCAGGATTACGGCAAGTGCCACTAAGATCATGATAAGAACTGACACGAGGAAGACAAGACATTTTATAAAGGTACTTCTGTCTTTGAAACAAGCGGTGACCATTTTGTTACGGTGCTGTGTCTTCTCGAATGAACAAAGTGTTACTTATTGAGACTGATACTTTTCGGTATTTTACGGTGCAGATGTGCGTAGGCAGAAAAAATAATTATATTAATCCGACTATTTGTAAAGTGTATAGGTCAGATCTAACAGGGAAGTTTAATTTGATTATGTGCTCACTAATTTACGTGGTATTCAAATTTCGACAACACCTGCCACAAACCGGGAAACATTTTTCGTTATAAGATCTGTTATCCTTAGGTCAAAGATAGTAGTTGACATTTTAAATACTTTAGATTTATAAATAGGAAACTGATTAAATACAACGTGGCACAGATTACGAAAAGTGGGTTAGATTAATCAAATGCTGTGTTTTTAGTTTGACCTAAAAAATTGGCGACAACTTTTAATCAAACATTGTTAGCGAATTGGATGCCTTTGAAGTGTATCGGCTTTAACTGGTAGAGTTCTACTTTTTTTAAATTAATTTTTAAAAAGTTCTTGCTCTCTGTGTATTCGCCCTTCTTTTTAGTAATTTGATTAATGCATTATTTATTTTCGCCTTAACGTAAGTATATCTATTAACAATTCAAACTGTCGTGACAAAAAGCCAAGTGTTAGTGTTAAGAACTATTTTACTTCAGAAACGTAGCTTTTGATTTGACGAATGGTCGTTCGACGTAACGTGGATCTCCAGTTTCCGTCTATTTGTCTGTTCTCTGTCGTCTCATGACGATTTTATTACACAGCTAACCTACAAAACTACTAGACGCTATCACAAATTTCTCTCATTGTCTCCACCAAAATTAGCCCTATTTAAAATGTGTAAGTAACACATTTTTATACCGGTGATTTTACCTTAATTTTAAACGTAGATCAAAATTTTTGGAATATATATTTTAATTTTGCAATTTAACTTCGGCACTGCGAAATTAATTACTCCGAAATTTTACACACACTTATTAATTTATCGGAATTCATGTGTTCATCTCTTCCAAAAACTTAATGACGTCATACTAAAATGACTTACTCTTGTATTTAATTGGCACGCGTACGTGTTATCGTTAAATATGAAATAAAATTTACATATTTTGGAGTTTTAACTCTTTTCTTGTCGTGATATAGAACACGTATACGACGTGCGCCGGAATAGGATGTTGAGTTCGAGCTACGAGCTCGGTGTCGGTGTCGAGGTCACCGAGACCAGTCTGAACATTGGCATGTAACACCGCGCTATATAGAAAAAGAGAGAGAAATAAACTATCAAACAATATGTACATGAAACGCCTCAGAGAGTGGTTGGTGCTGATTCCATTTCTTCGGACCACCACAATGCTCGAAGAGAACACAACCTACATCCACTGCCTGAATTCATAATAGAGTATCTGGGACCACAACTCTCCTCAGGATGCAGAAGTGCACTAATAACTCTCGGAACTCTGTCTGAGTGTAGATGTTGCTTGACGAAATATTCTTGGAGCCAAGTATATTGCGGTGAGGCGACGATCGAAAGATCGAACTATTTAATAAAATGTGTTCGTTTGACTGTTCCAAAGATTAAATTAGGTACAACAATTGATACCGTTTTCACACGTTTTATTACTCATTTAAGAACCGATATTTATATCACTCATTTTAGTCACCATAGGGCACTTATAACTGTATTAAATGATAGGGATAAAGATACCGAAGGCGATAAGGCTATGATTGAACAGTAATTTGTATACTGACCGGCAAAAAAAACCGGCCACTTTGAAAAATTTCGCAAAACCACTTTAAAATGCCGTTAACTCTTACAGACGTTTCTCAAATTGTCGCTCTGTTTTTGTTATTTTGTTAAATTAAATTAAATTTTGCGCTTATTTGTCTTCTTTTTTTGCTAATTTATGCGTCATGTGTCAGTAGTGAATAGTTCTTTAATAAAATAACGATTACTAGTTAAATTAATAATTTTTAAAGTTTGGTTTTGCGAAATTTTTCCGGGTGGCCGATTTTTTTGCCGGTCAGTGTATTTTAAATCGAATAAGTTATAAATACTGCTTTAGCATTTGTAAATATTTACTTGTTACTTTAGTTGGTAAATTACACATTGTACTTTAATTTTTTATACAATATTATTACAATATTAATTATGATATTCCTATATGATAAATAAATAAAAAAAGTATACTTTATAATAAACAACAATTGACAATATGTGGATATTCACTTTGATTAACCCATTCATGATCATTAATCATCATTTGGTCAAAAAATACAAATGCTACAAAACTCCAACCGTGCGTCCCTGGGTCGACGCACTCTTGTTTTTTATAAGAATGATTAGAAACCAACGATTAAAATTTACTCATCCATCCCCTCGAGAAAGTTGGTTACGTCATCCGAAAATTTTCTCAACAAACTCCTACTTGATATTATGCAAACAACAAGTTTTGCGGCTTTATTTTAGAAAAATTGTAAGAAATCTGTATGAATAAAAACTTTTTTTTGCTTTTGTGCTTTATCGACACTAGAAACATGTGATATTTTGTTGACATAAACAGCATTGTCATCCTTTGTAATGTACATTTTTGCATAATGATGACCTAATTTTTTAATTAACTGAATCACTCTCTTATAATAAAAAAACATACGAACATACTCATGTAACAAAAATTGAATTTTTCAAAAAATAACAACTTAATTTTTGGGTCATACATTAATTGACAGTGAAGCTTGATACACTTTTTCCACCCATGCGAACTATGTCGGTGAATGCGCACACTAATTAAATATGACCTAAGTGGGATGACGCAAGAATGCATTATGTGACCCTGAGTGGTAATAACAATATTAAAAACTATAACAACCTTTTATTTAAATGCATTTTATTACATCCAGCCTTGCACATTTTTTCGCTAACACTGAAAATCTTCTTTAAAATAATGAGAATGTGTGACTTCCTCAAATTTGTTTTTCATGTCTTCCTCAGAAGAGCAATACATAGTACTGGAATGAATCCAGAAGAGTTGTTTTATGGTATAATTGAGCACTGGTAATTTTCGTTCCATTCCATTGATTTGAAGCCATTTTTTGTAGCCTTGGTAGGCTATATCGATTCCTTGTTTACTAATTGAAGAATTTAGCCTTTCTTCTTCAGCTTCAATAATTTTGTCACCCATTGTGCGTCCTATTTTTGCAAAATTTATGTAGTTTGGTTGGTCCCACATGAAGGAGTCGCTGTACACCAAATTGTAGGGTAAATCTGAAAATTTTAATTAAATTAAATCAACAAAAAACCTAAGAATAAAACTACGAATGGTGTTGTCAGAACTGTCAAAATAAGTCTCCAATTTTTTGCTGTCTTCATAGTAACTTTCTTTGACACAAGCATCCGACTTTTTGTGAAGACAACTATAAAACTCATTTTCTACATGGAACTGAATTTCATTTATCATTTTGATAATTTTGTCAGATTTAAATTCAATCTACAACGAAACTGTGAGAAACTAAAAATTGTACGTACATACATTACATTTGTAACGCCGGACTGTTTTCCTTCAGGTCCTTCAATTACAACATCTGCTGCTGCTTCTTCGCTTTCATTGTAACTTTGATATATTAAGTTTATTGTTTCTTTTAACAACGGGAAGGTATTGTCACTTTTGTATTTGCGAACGTATTCATCTTCAATAACGCTGTAGAATCTCCTGACTGTTTCAGCATGACAATGTTCCTCTCTACTCCCCAATTCCACATATTTGACGTAAGTTTCTCGAATTTCGTCTGACGAAAACGGCAAATACGCTTCTATAGTTTTCCAAACAAAGTAGTTAGCTTGAGTTCTGAAAAAAAAAAAATTCTTAGTATTAGTACTATTCTCAAGTATGTCCACAATTTTACCGTTTAGGAACGACCTTCAGCAGTTTATGCAGTTCATACAAGTAGTTTTCAGAAGCAACCACTATTGTGGTAGAATTGGTAAACACCGAGTAACCTCTGGCAAGTCCATTTAAAACCTCATACAGTAGATTCGTAGGCCACAATTCGTTCATTTTTGCCACAGACACTTTAGTAAAGTCTGCCTCCGTTTCCAAATTCTTACGAACCTTTTCGCTTATCTATGGCAAATCACTAAATTTGTTTGTCAACATCCACAAAACACCCTACACGATGCAAATTATCTTCGAAAAGCATCATTTGCTGCAGGTGCCCTTGAACTGGGTTGGACCCTCCCAACTTCGAAATTAGTTGTCCTATAACTTCTTGGTAGTACGCTGACTTGAACCGAAAAGCATTAGGCCTCACATTCGGTGGATTAATCTAAAAATTTCGCACTGAACAAAACTATACTCAATTTAAATTATCAGCACCAATAAGAGATTTGTACCGTTCTCGTCTTCGTAATAGTCAAAACTGAGCAACCAGTCGGATCTGACTCCGAGTCGTCGCACTTGTACCATGAAAATTTGCCAGTTGAAGTTTTCCTCGTCCCATTCATCGCCCATGAGGAGTGGCCAACCACCTATTTGTGACAGTAAAGTGAAAAGGGTGTTCTCGTTGTCTCCGTTAATTGTAGTCTCGTTCGTGCAAGCTTGGTAGAACTGTTTAACTGTTGTTAAAACCGCGCTGTCATCTTCGTGGAGATCTGCAGCGATAAGGTCATTTTTTCTTTCTTCTTGGGTTGGAATGCAGTGACCGCAGACGAATTGGTGGAAGTCGTCGCAGGGATTTGTATCGAAGTCGATGATTTTGAGGAGTTTGTAGGAGGCCTCGATGCATTCAGAGGTATCACAGTGGTTTTCTGGGCAGAAATAAAGCGATTCAGTATTTTACTGATACCAAAATGATTGATGCAGAACTACGAACATATTTTATAGCCAACTAAAATTTGTTTACCCAAAAAGTGAGTGCGTAAAAGTTAGGCAATTTGAAAACAAAAGAACTTTACTGAAACTTTTAGGCTATCAGAATTTCATATTCCCTGAAACATGAAAAAGTAAGGCTTCCATTTTCGTCCGTCTTTTGTTTGTTTGTGTGCGATTGTATTAGAAAGATTATTTGCGGAACTACTGAACAGATTACTACGAAATTTTAGTCTAGAAAAATAGAATTTACCTTTTCCTCCCCACCAAAATTTTGATAACGTTATATCAAAATTTTGCCGATTAACTCAATCTTAAAATGTTCAAAATGATGGTTTCTGTGAATGTGGTTTATTGATCTATACTTATTTTTAACAATACACGAGCTGTCTGACGTATCTAATTTTTCTAAAATTTTGGAAACACAATTACGTTGTCATTAATGTTTCATTTTATATATCAAAGTATATGTATACAGAATCAAAAACTTTAACGGCCAGAGTCAATAACGGTAAGATGTTTTCCGAGTTTGGAACTTGTTAAATTTGAAAAGGATTTCGAAGTTTCGTTCACATAAGAGGCATCTTCAGGAACTGACGAAGGAGAAGTTCAGGAGATTAAAGAACGGTTCCGAACCTACATACATCTTTTTTGACTTCTATTCACCATATTATTTTTACACTGTTAAGTAGGATTTACATACTTAGCAAAATTTTGAAGTGACATCATCAAAATGTTGATGGGAAAGAGAACAAAAATCAGCTAGCGATTCATCAAACACATTAAAACCTGCTTGGACCATGAAAATAATTTTGTCATTATTTTTAAAAATATTAAATACTTCAACTTAAAAATACATAATTAATTTCAAAAAATATTCATCGTCATAACATTTATTGTCCTTTATAGACGAAAGGAGTTAATGTGTAAATAAGTCTGCAAATTCTGATATACTTCTTATGCATTGGCCGAAACTCAGTGTGACAGCATCTTGATAAAAAGAGTTTTTGAGAAATTTGAAAGACGTTAAATGGTCAAAGATTTAGAATCCAAAAAACGTGAAAGCTAAAATTATGGGAGACTATTGTTTGGCAACACCTTACCGTTTAAGAAGTGGGCGATGACGAAAGCAGATAGCGCCACCAGTCCGACCAGCGCCAATACCAGTAGAAAAAGTAGCACTTTTTCGGCTCGCGTCATCAACGTCCAGCAGTCTTGAGCCGTTTTCTCTCCATCACCTCTGCAACCACCGTTCATTATGCCATATAATCGCACTAACTGGTTACCTTTCGGTCATATCCTGCCGATTTTGATGAGGGTTTATTTGGAACGAATGAAGCCTGGTCTTTTGGATCATTGCCAACAGCATTTCACTGCAAACACGAAAGCACGTGTGCGAAGGACGCTCTAAAATAAAATGGTATAAACGAATTGTGTCATCTATTAATATTTTCTGTTTACAGTGTCATTTATGAGCCACTTTAATTGTATTGCCGCGGTTTACGAGTTAATTTTTCGCATGTTTTGGAATTCTTTTAAGCGGTGAGCGAACCGAGAAACGGATGTGAACCATTAAATGCATATTTCATGAATGTTTTACCCGATGGAATCATTCGAAGGAAAAATGACGAGTTCGGTCTTTACTCACACAAGCCCGGCTTCTTCCTCACTATTACGTGATCTAATTCCGTTATGACGTTTTTACTGTTACGGCAGCTTTGCCATATTTATCGCGTAATGCAATTTTGCTGCAAATTATCTTGTGTCTGTTATCCTGTAATCGAAAAGGCTGTTCACTGGGCTTCAAGCACAAGCCAGGTCTCGTTTTCAACTGAACCTCGCTCGTCTTGTTTGTTAACGTTGGCACGGGGTCAGAATTGTAATAATTGATTCGAATTTTTAGGTGAACCTGTGTACGCAGTGGCGTATTCGTAAAAGGTCATTTGTGTATTTTATGTGGTACTTTAACATTGTACAATACAATCAGCTGTCCCAAGATTTTACTTTATATTCACATATTTTATGAAAAGCTAAGGAAACGCCTTTCACTTAGAAGCTAACCATTTATGGCACCAGTCGATTCTAATTTTTTTCTCATCGCTCGTATTTTGAGTTGTCACCAATAATTTTTAATATAAATGCAAATGTTTCTGTAACGCAAGAACGGGTGGAATAATAGAGTTTTACGTTGGATAGTATTAATAATGTTTAAAGATCTTCATGTAAAAAAGTAATTTGTGTATACAGTAGGAGTAGGTAAATACAAAGGTCGTAAATTTTCAACACATTGCTATTTATATGAAATATCTCCAATTTTGCTTTCAATTAGATATTATTTTAACCCAGTTATTTGTAAACTAGTATAATATCAAATTAACCCCGTAATTATTTATATTTCTCTGACCAATAATAATAGCAATAACAATTTTAATTTTCGAAAAAAATGTTATTAGTATAGAATTTTAACCTCTTAAACCCAACGAACACCGCTTTTAATCATATTCAGTTTTCTAAAACATTCTGTAATAAATGTAAACTTACTAATTTTGATACTAAGCTGTAACACTCTTTGTAACGTAATTGTGTTCTCAGAATTTTTATATGTAGCTGTAGCTGGTTTCTGAATTCATTAATATAATAATATTTTGATGTGATGCCCTCATCTTTCTGGGGCAAATCAGTTTTACTGAATGTTCCGTAATTCATAGATCATAGCATTACGTGGATCGTAATTAACAATCGACGTGGGTAAAACTCAACAATTTATTTCTTAATAGCTCGAATTTACACGACTGATTACACACTGATTATGTACAAAATAATTCCGGTGCAACTTGACTGGATCCTTAACTGAATAATCTCGTTCCCGAAAGTGGCCTCTATTTAAAGCCATAGATGTTCCGCAATCGAGGTCTTTCTGGAATACCCGTCGCGACTTCCGCTTCCAGGCTTTTCTTTAGCGAACACCGCCCGACCGCCGTCACCAACAATGAGTCACCCATCATCGCCGCACATACTAGAAAACCCATAGGCGTCGTACCGAGGTGGCGTATGGGCATATTTCTTAATAGTATTTTTCCAAAATATCAAAATAGAATGCTAAAAATTCGATTACTTCCGCTCATGTGCAAAGGTAAAACTAAGGGTAAATTAATAAGCACAGTCAAGAATATGCCCTACGGCAAATATGAAGTGACTTTCACTTAACAAATACATACCTACATTAATTTTGGTATGTTCAAGATGACATTATAAATGACATTACTGTTGTCATAGATTTTGTCAGACAGAAACGAAAATTCCAAATTTTCATATTTTACAGGCTGTATTAGACATTCATTCCGCAAAATGATCTTAGCTGACTATCTTAAAAGTTGTCTTTATTCCCTGCGAGCATTTGAATTATATTTATGGTATTCCTAAGTTCCACATATTAAGATTTATTACTAAATATGTATAAACATGAACATGTGTTGCTCAACTAAAATCTTCCCAAAGACTGCAAATTCTTTATATCCAAAGATTACAATTACCGTTGGACGCTTTATTAATTCTTGTTATAGAACGGTTTCAAAGTAGCATGTTTTGTTAAATTTGTTCATATCAAAATTACCAGGAAATTATTATCCTTATTTTTCAACTTTCCAGATTTTCTAGTTGTTTGTGGTAGTGGGAATCGACTGATATAGTCAATTACTAAACCACATCAAATTTCATAAAATTGAAGGGGTCGCTCCTATTTTGCTATCTTTTTTAAATTTCCAGTCGTTTGCTTTCTTCTTCTAACTTTCATTTTGTGATTTGTTTAAATCTATGCTAACTGACCTCTTCTCTCCATCTTCGGTTTCCCTTTTTTTTGGGTCTTCCTTGTAGAACCTTTTTGAGAGTTTTTCAGTATGATCTGGCCTTCTGATTCGTTGTGATCTTATTGCTGATGATACTGCTGGTTGTTTGTTCCAACCTTTCTTAATTTGATTTTTTTCAATATCCAAACTGTTCCAGTGTTTTTCTGATTTGTCTGCTCCTCCTTCTTGGTCATTTCTGTTATCTTGTGGACATCCAATACTTCTTCAAAGTATGCTTTCTATTTCACTTCCTTTAAAAATTATTAAATACTTATTACCAACATAAACAATTAGATTTAGTACCTTTGGTAAAGGAATCTTGGTGATGATGACAAACTCTCTTTGACCATATGTGATATAGATTAATCGAAAATGATTGCTAACGGTGTATTATCCCCTTAACAACGGGTATATGATATCTTCAACAAAAGAAGCTAAATCATTTAATATACAGAGTTTCTGTTAATGATTATTGATTATAGGGTCGAAGTAGGTCATGGAACGGTGCCGCCTGTCACTTTATATGCACTTTACTAAATGTTTAAGGACTCACGATAAATACCATAGGTATCTGTATAACCAGGGTTCTTAGCGGTTTAGAAATCTTGGAAAACCTGGAAATATCAAGGAATTGTGATGTACTTAGTTACATGTAATAGTGTTTTTTTTTCTAATTTGTACTTCTGGAAAAACGGCTTTAATAGTTTGGTAAACCTGGAAAAGTCAGAGAATTTCACTTCGTGAAATCGCTGAGAACTCTGATATGCTTGATATCTGAATAAAAAATAAAACTAATTCATTACAATAAAACAATAGTTATTTATGCAACAAGTGTGCACGCGACGTAACAATTCTCCGACGAGACCGAAGGTCGAGTCGGACAATTCGTCAAGTACAAGAACACTTTTGCACGTGTTGCATACAACATTTTTTCTACAGTCGTGGCTATAATGCACCAGTTTTATTGGAGACTTAAATAAAATTCTATAACAACTAAAATGTATCATCATGCTCTCTTATGTTAGTTAGCCCAGACTACCATGACAACTAAACAATGTTTCTAAAGAAAACCAAATTGCAAAATAAAATAAAACGCCATAAATAAGTAGTGAGTGAGTGTTTTGAACCGTGCTGACCGCAAAATGAGCGATTCGAGCGAAAATGAAACAAACCCTGAAATTACCGAGATGGCCAATGCGGCAATATTTAATTTATTGTCCGAGAAATCTCGCAAATCGGTCTAGAAGGTAAAGACTTCTACCCTCTGGTCCGAATATTCCATGATACGTGCTTCCCTTTCGGTGAAAGAAAATATGGATATAAATAAAATTTGACGTTGATTAGATTGACAATAAAATTTTTCTTGCACCATTGACATATGAGTCATTTTTTACACGAAAACAAATTTATTGTGGTTAAACATCGCAATAAACGTTGAAAATGTTCACCATTTTGTTCAAGGCACATCTTCTTTTTATTTTCAAAAATGTTCTATACATCCTTTCGCCAATGCTTTGGACTCACTATTCAATTCATGCTAAAACAAGAACCCCTGACTACTGAGACAATCTTGTCAAAAATGTTTGTGGATTCTGTTCGAATAGTATCGAATCATCAACAACTTCCTCAAATACTGAAGGTCTTCCAGGAAATTTCCTTTTGTTGACACTGCCAGTTCGGACAAAACTGTTGATTACATATCTAATGTAAGCCTCTTAACGATGTTTCTTGAATTTACAAATCAGGGTATTTGGCCAGATATTCTTGCTAACAAGCGGTTACAGAATATACCCATTTTCCGTTTACAAATGTCCCATTGCGAAAATAAGACATAATATAAATAATAATTCATAGTTGAAAAAGGTTAGCACATTAAAAACGACGACTTTAAATGACAGGTTGCAAATGACATTAATGACAAGTGAAAACTGTCATAATGAGCCATAATTTCAGCCGAGCTGGATTTTTGAAATACTTTTGTCTTTAATAAATATACCTTACTCGTAATTTACTGCGTTTAGTGTGTTGCTTTATGAACACTTTATTACTAGTTACAGTTATTTTGATCAAAAATCGTAAACTAAGTACTTCTTAGCATGGAAAGTTTCGTCCACGTTTAAGAAACTGCTTTTTTCTACATGATTTCTTTGTTCGTCGCTGTTTTCTCCACTTTTTGAATTAACGAGATTCTTTATCTAGTTATGCCACTTTCAAAAATTATTTGGCAATGTTAATATTTTGTATTCATTCGCCACAGTACATAATTTGAGTACTTTTGAATCCATTATTCAGGTGTAAGAATTTTATACGTTTAGTTCTTGGTATTTATTTTTTGTACTGACTTTCTGTCGTTTTTTCAGATCCGTTTGCCGCAACTGCCCTTGGCCAGACACCTCCATGTCTTCGAACGAAGGAATGAACGTTCCGATTTCACCACCTGCCCTTCCGTCTCCCGGAGGTAAATTACCGTCTTTAGACCCAACCGATCGGTTTCTGGGTAAAGGTTCGCCCTTTGCACCATCAACAGGCGATCCGCAACGTCATTCGCAAAGCGACGATGACTCCGGATGTGCTCTCGAGGAGTACACTTGGGTACCACCGGGACTTCGACCAGACCAAGTAAGTTATATGCATTTAAAGCGTTTCGCTTCATTTCTAGGATAAATGATGCATAAATGGTAGACAGGTAGTATGGTCGGTCGTAACAACGGTCTTTTCATTTTAACCAAATATAGTTAACTTGCTATTATTATTAATATTATTGTAATTATGTTAACGACCGCACTGCCGTTATGCGGAATCTAGAACGCGTTATAATTTTAATCCTGGTACTAATTATCATTTCTTGCACCTTGACGATGTAGAAAATTGTGGGGATTAGGAGCGGGTCGTGATGTGGTGAGGCTGTTGATTTGAGAGAAAAATGGAGAAATTGGGCTAATTATGGGAATTGAAGAGCTTTGCGGTAAATTACAGTGTACAGGATTTGTAGTTATTATTTTATGGTTGAGTTGGATGTACACTGCAGGATCTAACTGCGTATTTTTTCTTTTGGTTATATCGCCTCAAAGGAATTACCTAACCATTAATCAACCCATGCTAATGGTAATTAATCATTATAAAGTGTTTTCGAACTATTCTTTTCAAGGATGATCCCGTACCTACATGAAGTTAGTTTGTTATGGTTTTGTTTGATTAATTTTTTCCTCTAGATGAAAAAATGTTTCTTAGATCAATATAATTTATTATCTGCAGCTTGAAGGAATCCAATGAACTGCGTGTATCAAAATTTTTCTCTTCACAATTCACTTGCTTTTCTGGACACTTTCATGTTTTGTACAATGTGGAATTGTAGTCAGACGTCCGTGCTGGACACATTTTCCTTGACACAGGTCTTCTGATGATTCAACACTAAACTCTCGAAATTCTAAGCATAAAATTATAGGAAAGGTACCAATTTCTTTGTACAACAGTATATTTTGGAATATACTAAACTAAGAAATAGAATAAGTGAGCTTGTAAATATGACAGAAATTTGTACAGTCACATAAAATAAAACTTAGTATTTGTGTGAATTTGGTATTTAAGTAACCAACATAGATGATAATTAAATGTAAATTGACTGTCATACTACTATAAGTAACCGTCTTACATTTATCCGTGTTAATCACAAAGCAATTAAATTTACGTCATTCAAATAAGTTATTTACATCTTTCTGTAAAATCCAAAAGACCAGATCATTTTTCGAAATATTTTTACCATTAGTAATGTCTAGAGAAAATAATAGCGGCCCTCAGGCGGAACCATGAGGAATGCGTACTGTTACAAACAAAATACTTCCTCAAACATAACTATGTAACAAAAATTTCCGATAAAAGTTTACGCATCTCAAAGTTTGAAGGCTTATGCAATAGTATTCGGTGGTCTAATTTCTCAAAAGTTTTCACTAGATTCGTATATATCACATCAAGTTGACTTTTGTACTTATAGTTTTGTACCATTTTTCTCTGAAGTCAAAGCAAACAGAATCTAAATCATAAAAATAATAAAAAAACCTCAAACATAAAACATATATTATGAGGTGTCAGAACATTTTGTCACCTGTCAAAACATCTCATCCAACGCGCCTTCTACCTGAGCCCTTTCCCAATGCAAATTAAACTCGATGCATAACAAAAATTCTGCAGCAGTTTGACGGCATACAATTTACCGGTGGCATTTCACATAATCTGCAAGCTGGAGCCAGTTCACTGGTTAATCTTGTATGCAAATGTGCCGCCGCTCATCATATTTGCCGTCAATCTTAAATATTGACATAGCCACGAGTCAAACAGTTCTAAGAAAATTTTTGCAAGCATGCGATATTATGCATCTAATTATAAAATATGATGTGTGAGATCGTAGGAATTGTGGCAGGAGTGCTCCACTGTATTGTTGGGTGTTATTTACTGTTTGCAATGCCGTTTGTCAGTAGTGACACACTGTAATGAGGTACAAGGCTGTTACACCTTACAGTGTCACTGCAAGAATCCCACCCATTCTAGGAACATAGTCTGTTTAAAAATAAGAATACTGACGTGTCGTCGCAGATGTAATGATAAGTATGTTGGACAGAATGGTGGTTTAAGTCGTGTAACTGAGTGATTGCCTGAAAGGTGTTTGACATATTTTTTTGCCTGAATGAAACAGTAGTACCCATTTTTACTGACGATTAAAAAAAGTCAATTAATGTAGGACAATTCCAATTAACCTTTTTACAGTTTTTTTCTCAAAAACATCATAAACCTAGAAAATAAGTTGATTCGACCAGCGTTAAAACCATATGGCATGTGTAAAGTGTTTCAACTGGGTACCGAAAACTGATCAGTGCATAATTTCATTGTACCTTTTCATAGAAATGCTGACAAAATTATCTACAGACTTAATGAATTGAATTTTAGGAATTACTATGTACAAGGTGAGTTAGCTAAAAGAGGGCACGTAGATTTTTTTTTATTCATTATTATCAAAGCTAATGAGTTTAAATTTGTAAACGGAGACTAATAGCTGCTTTAAAAAAAAAGCAACGGAAAAGTAAGTTGCAGAAATAATATTTTTTTATTTGTCAAATTCTGCAGGTTTTTTTTTGTTTCAAAAAATTTAAAAAAAAAACAAATTAACCCATCTACAATCAAGTTCTGTAAAGTTTTTCAACTAGGAGGTATTATGTTATTAGCGACCATATGTAACTAGATGGGGCATTATTACCCCATTTAACAATATCGTTAATAAAAATGAGAATGGGGGTGACCCAAGATTCGAGCCATGGGTGACTCCACTGAAGTATACATACATAATGCATACATAGCAGACATATGACAGACATATGACAGATAGACAACAGACATAGAACAGACAGACGGAAACGAGAAACCTACCTCATATTCCACAAACCAAGGAAACATGAAATTAGTCATTAGTCAAACGAATTATTATTATGGAAGTAAAAATCGACTGAAATCGGTATTGATATTACCAACACCATTAAATACACTGGAAATCACCAAATCTTACTAACTACTATTAAATTTTATTGAATTTTATCAATATTATCAACCAAAAAATTCGAAATTGTTAAATTTCTAATCTAGGTGGGCTGGTGGTTTAGAAACATATGTGCATGCGGGGTGCATACACCATACATCTGTCAATGTCAAGTTACATACAAAAATGCTAACCTACAGACCCGTTAAAAACTGGTGTTATCAGCGACAATACGTTTTATTCCAAAGCCAACCTAGTTTAGAAATTTATAAAATCGCACTTGTTGTTATTTTATATAAGGGCGCATTATTAATATATAATTATTAAATGATCGTTGTCGAAGTTTGTATAAATGAATAAAGACCAGCGAACAGTAAGATAAATGTATATTGATAGTGACAAGTGTTAGGATAAATAAGAATAATAAGAATAGAATATTATGTGACCGTGCGGTCGAGATAGTTGAATGTTAGTTACGAATTGAGAAATGTGAATTGAATGTGTATGAATGAGTTAAGAATTAAGAATTGAATGCTACCCTGTGTTCCAAGGTGGGGGTGGCTCTGGCTCCCACCCTTACGGGTGGGGAGGGGTGAAACAGGTCCCCGCCAGAGGCTCTAACATACCCCCCGCCTTGAAACAATTACATTGTTTTAAAACCAAAAATAAACTATATGGAACATTAGAATGAAAACATGATTTAGTAATGATAAATACAGATGAAATTACATGAATTGGGTGGACATTGTTACAGAAAGCAATGAACCTGAAGAAATGCATTAAACTTTAAAAAAAGATATCTAAAACAAATTACATGTGTACAATATCAGTGAATACACATATTTACAATAGACCTAAAAGTAAATTTACAACAATTATAACGTACCGAATCAATGAATAATATGGCGAATGGATATAACAATATAAATATGAATTAATGTACATAATACAATAAACCAACAAGGAGATGCATATAACAAATTGACAAGATGTATGCAATATGGTTAAATAGAATGATAATGCATGCGATTGCGAAAATATCTTTTGCACTTCACCGACACTACACACACCACCACTTCCTTTCCAAAATGATGTTGGAGGGCCGCGTCCTAACCGCCACTGTAGACGCGGAAATTTCTCCTTTTCCACGAGGACCCATCTTGCCATTCCTGGAACGTTGGAAGATGGTCTTTGCCACCCTAACCTGCCTTTCAGTGTGGTCAAATATTCGAGGTACCACGACTTCCAGAAGTGTTGACGGTAAGCGTGGATGAGGTGGCAAGGGATGGCCTGTTGATGGGAACGACGGCGTGGTCTTTTCCTGAGGGACCGGTTGATGGCTGGCCGAAAGAGGCACTGGCCAGGTATAAATGCGACCAAATTATTGCGGTCGCTGGACAGAGGCTTCGAAAGGCGCGAATTCAGGACGGCTTTAACTCTGACAATGAGCGCATACACGCCCTCGCCCTCAAGATGGTTTTTATCAGTAATTTCGTTATACTTCCCGCTATTCATATTTAAACTCTTTGAACTAAGATTTAAACGGTCAACAACCTCGCAAAGTTTATTGGAAGAAACGTGAAGATTTAAAACACAATTGTGTTGCAGGTAAATGAAATTATTTAACGAATTTTCGTTAAGTACCTTCAGGTGCACAAGGTCTAGGTACTTCCTTTGAGAGACAATAAAACCCGCGTTATGTTTATGATTACGCCCCTCTGCTAACAATAGCAGTTGGAGAGCGAGTTCTGGGGAATTTCCTAATTTAGGTAGATTTTCGAAATAAGGGACTGTGGAATGCCCCAACTTCCTCTCGACTGATAATAGCCACTTTGGATGCATTTGTGTAAAATTCTCTAACCGCGGCTGATTTTCCGAAAAGGGGTGTTTGACCATGAAATAGCCATCGGGTGAATGGCCTGTGGTAGTATACTGAAAAGGGGTTGCACAGAGATCGCTTTTAAACCCTTTGCTTAATGACCTGCTTCCGGTTTTGACGGTTTCAGCCTCCAAGAACCGAGAAATAATTTGGGCTGAACTAATTTTGTGAGGATGGGAAGTATTATTTTTTAAATATGCAAAACTGCCGCTAAGA